GGGGCTTATACCAGAAACAACTTGCTCCCTTTTACAAGCTCCAATACTGCAAGTACGCATAACATTGATCACCATGAATACATCAACAAATTACTTCAAGGTCTCAAGGCATTATCGGACTGTGTCAACCGGTTCCTCCGAGACTATTATAGAGATTTATATACGAAATTGAGCAGCTGTCATGGGGTCTATTTGCGCCAAAGCCCTTTGAAGTTTTCCCAATGATAGCTATTAATTTTAATACCACTAGTGACTATCATTGGAATGAGTATGACAAAGCAAATAGTTTATATGTCTTAGTTGCACTAGGGGATTACGAAGGAGGAGAGTTATGTTTTTCTCAGCTCCAAATGGTCGTACATCTTAGGCCAGGACAAATCGTAGCATTTGCCTCACGTTTATTACTTCATAGTAATTTTTCAGTCACTAGAAGGATCCGGCATAGTGTTGTTTATTTCGTACATGACACATTTTTTCACCATTTACGGGATTTTACTAAAGCTTATATTAAGGCTAGAATTAAGAAAGGTGCTAATAGACCAATGGTTTCTAAGCAAGATCTCAATAATGCTCAGAGTTTGAACCACCGGACCCATCTTTCCAAACCAAAAGCAAAACAAATACAGGTTCCTTCCGCTATATTTGATCGGAGACGAGGATATATAGATATGAATTGTTTTATGATGCTACATTATATATGGACAAAAAATATAGTTATTAATAATTAACGTTTCTCTAGATTTAGCACGTGCTCGACAAGGGTTAAAGGCGAAAGATCTGCTTCCAGATTTATAGTAGTTATGTTTCATGTGTGATATTTGTATGTGTGTCTTCTTTATTAAAGTGCATTTAAGAAGTCTTATTTCCTTATTGCTATTTTCTATTTACATTTCTGCACTGTATTACTTAATGTATTATTATAAATAAATAACCAAAATTAATCGATACTACTATGCTCATATGATGAATAAGTACCATGGTGAGATCGATCATCAAAAATTCAGAAAAATTATTGTTGAGACACGAT